CCAGCCTCAGCAACTGAGCCAAGACCCTGTCACAAAATAAATAAAGAAGTGCTGGGGATGTAGCTCATGGTAATATCCAAATGTTCTCATTAGCTCCATAAGTTTTTTAAAACTGGTAATAAGAAACCTTAGATTAGACTTTTTTTTTTTTTTTTAATGATGGGGATTGAACACAGGGTACTTTACCACTGAGCCACATCCCCAGCCCTTTTTATTTTTAAATTTGAGAAAGGGTCTCACTAAGTTGCTCTGAAGCTGGTTTGAACTTGTGAAATTGCTGGATTATTGTATACCAGTGTACCCAACTCAGACTATTAAAAGCATTTCAGGCTAAGTAAATAAGCCAGTTACTTTTACAAGTATGTCCTATTATAATGAAAACAGATTATTATTGAATATATATAAATATAGATTTTGCCATAAACATAAATAATATTTGGTAAGAGTTTATGAACTCTGGAAGGGTCAGGTAGGGAGAAAAATGTGCTTCATTTTTGTTTACAAAAGTATGCTTTACCCAATTGTTGTTAGTTATAGATCTCAAGAGAAGGGTTCTTTAAATCTGCAAAACAGGGGCTGGGATTGTGGCTCAGCGGTAGAGCGCTCGCCTAGCACATGCAAGGCCCTGGGTTCAATTCTCTGCACCACATAAAAATAAATAAAATAAAGGTATTGTATACAAATAAAGAATAAATATTAAAACAATAAAATAAATCTGAAAGCAAAACATWGAAGAACTAGAAATATTTTGAACAAAGTCACAGAAATTATAATCATCCATCAGTTTGTTCAGTCCCCTGTAATTAATTCTTGATTCTGGTCCAGCAGTCTCATGAATCTTTTTKTTTTCATTAGAGGTCTGGAAATTCTTACCCAATCTAATGGTATGATTTTAAAGTTATCAGAAATTTGTATTTGTCTTTTCCCTGAATCGTCTTGCAGTTTTGTATCATAGATGCTTGTCAAAGCTTTCAGGAAGACATGAGAGCCAAATAATAACTGCCTGTTAGGACAAAAGCCTTAAGGCTGTGGGTAAAGATTATGGGAGTTCATTATCATACAGTTGATGAGGAAATTTGATCATTTCTTTGACATTTTAAGATAACTGGAATTATAACTGATAATATTATACCAGGACCTATCAAATTACTAAGAATTTCATACCATTTCTGGAACAGTTATTGATAATATACCCATACAAATATAACATAAGGAGAGTTAATTATGGCCTATATTTGATAGTGCTTCTTGTGCCTAAATTGGTTTTACTTTTGCTTGATAATTCTTCTCATGCAAATAAGTTTAATTACTTTAACAACTCTTTCTGTTTGGGGGTTTTTCGGTCTTTCCGAAATATCCCAAAGTTAATCTGAGGTCAAAAAGTCTTCATCCAGAATTGGAGTTTTCAGAAGTTTGCAAAAAATGTCAGAAGATTCAAAACACTTAATTGAATAGGATCCCAATTATCTATTTTACCCAAATGACAAAAATTTCAAAGGTAAATACAGAAGGCCACATAGTTGAAAAAGAGAAAAAGAAGAAGAAAGACAGACTAAAGAGCTTTGGCTCTTTTCATGGAAAAATTTAAGTAACCCAAGACCTGGCAAAGACAACACGAAGCACAGGAAATTATCTTACAAACCCCAGAATCTTTGTTTCYTAGGAGGCCCTCTGAAAAGTTAAATCCAAAATTTAATTTTTAAAAATTTTTTAGATGTGGATGGACCTTTATTTTATTCATTTATTTATATGAGGTGCTGAGAATCAAACCCAGTATCTCATGCATGCCAGGCAAATGCTCTACCACTGAGCTACAGCCCCAGCCCAAACCAAACTTTTTACACTCTACTATCAAGAGAAATTTTTATCATTTTAACTGAGATATGCTCACATTCTGTTTTTGCATGACTTTGAAATTAATCATACATTCTTTTATTTTTAGCTTGCTTGGCAGCACAAGACTTTCTTTCTTCCCAATTTCCTATAGCCATTTAGTTTTCCTTCATTTTCCTTTTCCTCAACAAAAGCCACGTCCTCACATCTTTTCTTAACTGTCATGATAGGATTCTGTAGATTGGCAAATTTATGAATATACCTTTTCATAATTCCTAGAAGCGTCCTTCCTTGTGGTACAGTTTTTCATTGTAGCGCAGGACATGTTTACTAACACCTAGACATCTTTCATTCATCTGTCCAAAAGCAGATAAACTTTTTTTTCAGCAGTTAATGTTTCAGTATTTTATGTGGACATAATCAACTTAATTCACTTGTTTTTTTTTAACAATTATACTTTGATTACTCATAAAAATTTCATAAGACATTAAATAGCTCATCATCATCTAAGTTTTTTTCTTGCTAAGAAATTTTGTAACAGATTGCATGAACTTACTTGTAATTCATTTGTTTTATAACATGAGCTTATTTGAATAGTAAACCTAGGTAGAATTAAAGTTTATGTTTGTGTCATATTTAATGCTAACACTCTGCAGACATATCCATTTTTTTAAAGAAGTAAACCATTAGTATTTTTATTTACCAAAGATTACTTAAGTGATGTGATCTTAAAAGGCACTTGGGTTAGTTCCTATTTTTCTGAATGTTTTAGGAATACTTAATTAGTATAAGCACTTGAGATTTTTTACTCATGTCTGTTTAACTTTTGTAAATACATATGAACATACAGACCTAAGCATAGATAGTTTAGCTTTCATTTCAAAATTTTGGCCAATACTCCAAAGCTTCTAGTTTGATAAAGGAAGCTGGGTCCACCTTGTGCCTCTGGCAGCTAGAAGGTTACCCATTCTGATGGCCAAAACTTTGTATTAGAGATTTTTCATTTGCACACGCTATAAGGATTCTTTAGAGAAGTTTTTTTTCTTTGTCTTTTTGAGTCATTTTGGTTTTTAGAAGGTTCTGCATCCAAATCAAAGGATGCATTCCATTGTGTCAGAGMGTCAGGATCCTTCCTGTTCCAGGGCACTGCAACAATGAACTATCTTGTCTCATTAAAGATTTCCCAAAGTAGTCATTGTAATCCCAAATTATCCGTTGTAAATTTCATCCATTTTCCAGAAAGGYACACGATCTTGGTCCATAGTTGGTTCTGTACCAGTTGGAATCCATCCTTCTCTTATATTCTTTAAGAATTCTTACATTCTTAGATTCTTAACTGTGTGAAGGGTCCCCCCCCCACTTTTTTTTGTATTGGGTATTGAACCCAGGGAAACTTAATCACTGAGCCACATCCCCAGCCCTTTTTTGTATTTTCTTTAGAGATTGGGTCTCACTGATTTGCTTAGGGCCTCACTAAGGTGCTGAGGCTGGAGTTTTACTCTTGATCTTCCTACCTCAGTCTCCTTAGCTGCTGGGATTACAGGTGTGCACGACCATACCCAGCTTCAAGGTCCCACATTTGAGCAGTTGTTCTGAAGCACTGGGAATCACGTTTTCCCCTCAGTCCCTCTTTGAACAGAGTAGGATGACTGACCAAGGAACTTCAGCAGAGGCCACTCAACAAAATGCACATGGCATAGGCCTGTGATCCTAGTGACTCCAGAGGCTGAGGCAGGAGGATTGCAGTTTCAGGGCCAGACTTGGAAACTTTGTGAGACCCTCTCTCAAAATAAAAAATTTAAAAAGTGCTGGGGATGTAGCTCAGAAGTAAACGTTCCTAGGTTCAATTCCAGTGCCTCCCTGCTACCTGCATGTGTGTGTGTGTGGGGGGGGGCGGGGGGGGATTGAAAGTTGATTTTCTCTAGTGGATGCTGCTCTGCTTTTTTTTTTTTTTTTTTTTTAACAAGCCCCTGGTTTGGTGTTTCTCCTTTGATATTTTCATTATCCCAACTCTGTAAAGTAAGACTTATGTGTACATGTTATGATTTTGGAAAATATGTAAATATACAAAGAAGAAAAATTAGCCCTGTGAGTCCTACTGCTTGTGTTTGCTGCTTCGTCGGAGCTCAACAGCGTTATCTCAGCCAGCAGCCTAAGGGAGGAAGGAAGACAGGCTTGGGGGCAGACCTCGCTTCCCACCCCAGATTTCCCACTCAGTAGCTGCCTGACTGTGAGCTAGTTGTTTAATACGATTTTCTCTTACACAAAACGAGAATAATAATACCTGGCGGGTAAGGTGTTTGTGGCAGTTAAATTCTAAGTGCTCAGCAGACTTTAGTTTTCTAATGTTTTCCTTTTTAGATACTTCTTCTTTTTATAGTCCCCATTTTTTTTTGTTTGGATGAAGACAGTAGAATTGATTTTTTTTCCCCCTTGAAATTCATGAGCCATTCCCTTCTTCTGTAGTTGTAGGATGGTCAGTCTTTTTCTCTAAATCTTGAGAAGGACATTTTAAGAAATATCTAGATCACACAATCAATTTTGTCTCATATTCTGTGGTTTTACTAATACCGATTCCACAACCACCCAGTCATTTTTGTCCCAAGTTTCTACGTCCTTATCTGTTGGAATAGCCTTTCTCCTCATATTTCTTCAGTGGGTAAAAAGCAAAGCTCTTTATTATAGAAAATTAGGAAAATAGGAAAGTAGAAAGAACATTTGAAATCGCAAGTTTTTATCTAGTGTATTTAATGTTTGGCATATTTATTATTTTCATTTTTGTTATCATAGATGTGATTTCTACTATTCATGACATTTGTGTTTTGAGAGGAAGACTACTGGTAAAATTAGATAGGTTTTTTTTTCTGTGCCTTAGAAAAAATACTTGGAAAATTCAGGGTTTGAGATCTGTGTGCTTACATTTGGTTTCATCTAAGATAAAAAATATCGTGTGATACATGGAAGTCTCATTGCCTCAGAAATTTAGACAAGCCTTGTTTTTGGTCACTCTGACACTGGTTTTGAGAATTATGTAAGGTYGAGTCTACTTTTTGTCTACCATTTAAAAAATATCTGTGTCATTTGAGTTTTAATCCTATTATTTATTATTTTCAATATATTTGAAACTTGTAACAAATCTGAATTCTACCTTTTTTTTTAAATTTCAGAGTTTTCCTTCTTTGATCCTAATGATGCCTCATGCCAGGAAATTCTCTTTGATCCCAAAACTTCCGTCTCAGAATTATTTGCCATTTTAAGACAATGGGTTCCTCAGGTCCAGCAAAACATTGACATTATTGGAAATGAGGTAAAAAAAAATTGTTGCATTTTCCATTTTGCATTGTTGTTAGGATTGTTAATGGTATAGATCCCTCCCACCCCACCCATCTGAATGGGGAGATAGTGATGAAGGTGAAGCCTTCAAGGTTTTGCTTTTGTCCTTTGTGTTTCCATGGGCAGCAGGTGGGWGCTCTGATCTTGTCCTCTTGCTCCTCATGCTCTGTACTTTCTTACACCTGGGGTTCCAGCACTGGAGACATTTGGGTAGGGGTAGGGAGAGGCACTTTGCATATTTTCTCCTTTATACAAATGGCTTTTGCAAACTTGCATGCATTTCTTGAAGGGATTTGATCACCATCACATTCTGTCTACAATTTTGAATGATTTGACAAAGATCTGGGCTTTTAAATATAAAAAATGTTTGATTCTTGGAGGGGGCCGTTCTTGACCCACATGTTGTCATATTATAGGAGGACRGTGTTTGTACTTTCTTAAAGTAGTATTCTACTGATTGGGGAAAAGTGTTTTTTTGCTCATTTTTGATTACTTTGGAGTCATCTTTTAAGAATTTTCTTCTGTGGGGAACAAGTTCAATATTCATTAGGTTGACTGCGGGATATTCGTTATTGTTGGGTGTAATTCAGGTAGGACAGACTAACTCGGCTCCCCAGCACTGATTTGGAAGTCACTGGTACTTCTGTAGKTAGGTTGTAATCGTGTTTTTTTCTTGGCTTTCTTAGATTCTTAAGAGAGGTTGCAATGTGAATGATAGAGATGGACTGACAGATATGACTCTTTTACATTATACTTGCAAGTCTGGAGCTCATGGTATTGGTAAGTATGTGGTAATCTGTTGCTTGCTTGGGTCATCTGCATCTGTGCACCAGTCAGAGACCTGGGAAGACAGTCAACAGGCAGAACTCTTCAACTGGGTGAGGAATCTGTTAGGTCCTTCCTAAACCTTGTTTCTTTTTCTCTGGAAAGTTTTATACTCTCCTGCTACCTCTCAACTTTTCTGCAGCAGGCTCCCTGTCTAATTGCTTCCTAGCTGGTCTGTCCTAGAATTTTCCCAAGGGCTTCCAGCAGGATCAGTCCAAAGTTCATTTTCTAGGCATAGCAATCTCCACAGAATCCCAGATTTTGTAGGCTTGAAGGAGGTATGTTCCAATTTAGGAAACATCTATGTGTGTTTTCCAAAATTGATACTCTCCTGTGGTTTAGCATTTTATAAATCTGCCTCTAGCTAAACTATAGATTGTGATTATCTCTCCCAATTTCAGTAGTCTAATACAGAGTGCCTTAAACTTTGGATGGTGTAAGACTCTTCCCCCACCCCCTCCATAATCCATCATTGACTGGTACTTTTGTAAAGTAAAAATGGATTTATAATATAAAATGAAATAAAGCCCCAATATTTTTAAAAAGGCATAAAATTATATTTTAGTCAATATAGTCAGAAGAAATATTAACTAGGGAAAAAAAGTTACAAAAATTACAGATTACAGCTTGGAACTTCTAGATCCACAGTGCTCACTTTTTTTTTCTCCCTTGGAATATTTTTTTTTATGATTCTTTTTAGTTATACATGACAGTAGATGCCATTTTGACATAATTAAAAAAGCATGGAATATATCTGTTCTAACTCAGACCTCAATATCTCTCCGCCCCTTCCCTCCCCCAACCTCCTGCTTTCTTCCCTCTATTGATCTTTCTGCCATTTACCCGTAGTTATTTTTCCACAGCACTCACTTTGAGTAGCACATTATTTTTAAAGGCTTCATAGTATTCCATAATATGGGTGTCTCAATTTATTTAACSAGTTTTAATATTGTACTTTTAGGTTGTTTCAGAATTTTATTTTTAATAAACAGTGCAGTAATGAAAAACTTTATAGATGAGTGTTCACAAACCTGAATATGATTATTTTCTTAGAATAAATTCCTGAAAGTGAAGCTTTTGAGGTGTTAAGGTATATTCAGTGTGCTTTGACTTTTTCCATTGGGACTTAAAAGGTGTACTGGGAAAAAATAATTTAGAAAATCTTCTTTAGGTGATGTAGAGACAGCTGTAAAATTTGCAGCTCGACTTATTGACCTGGGAGCAGATGTCAGTTTGCGGAGTCGCTGGACAAATATGAATGCTTTGCATTATGCTGCTTATTTTGATGTCCCAGAACTTATAAGACTGATTTTGAAGACCTCAAAACCAAAAGGCAAGTATTATCAGATCACTGTTAGCTGTTATTAATTGGAGATTTTAATAGTAGCATAAAATTATAGTTTAAGGCAATTTTTCTTCTAATGCATCTTGATATGYCTTCCTACCTCATTCCTCATTTTATTTCTGAGATAGTTGAGAATTTCTTTCTTAAAGATTAATGACTATCCTTTCACATAAGTCTTAGTATAAAAAGACACAAAAATAGCATTCTTTGGGTTTTCCTATCTTTTCAGATTCTCCAGTGTAACATGGGTTTATGTGTAATTGATTCTAGGTGCTTTATAATTCTTTCATCTTGCCTGGGTAGCCAGGAATAGAGCAATAAAGCCTTTGGAGGTAGGCATAGAAGTAATAAAGTATATTTCTTTTAGATGGTGTTCATTTCTGAAATTCTGTGATTCTACTTAACAGATGAAATTTCAGTCTGATCCCCGTTGCCCTTCCCCACAAAATCTCAATGGTGGTATACTAAAATTGAAGATCTTAACATCTAAATCCCAAGCCTGGCTTTTGACTTTCTGGTTCTCCTCTTGGGCGGGGGGGTGTCAGTTATCTTTGGAGAGCAAGTGAAAAGCATTTCTTTAGTAAAAGAGAGTATGCTGAATTGCCCCCACTGTAGAAGACATGTTCTAGAGATTCCATAGGAAAATGGAACATTAGTTTCTAATCACAGATTCACAAGGATGGTCAATTTTCTCTTTGAAATTTTACCTTTTCACTTTCTTAATGGTATTGGGGAAAGCCTGTATTGATGGTACCTTGTCTTTTTTAAAAAATATTTTTTTAGTTGTTGATAGACCCTTTATTATTTACTTATTTATCTGCAGTGATGAGAAATGAACCCAGTGCCTCACACATGCCAAGCAAGTGCACTACCGCTGAGCCCCAGCCCCAGCCCCAGCCCCTTGTCTTTAATAGTTGAAGAAAGTTTGTCCTGAGCATATCTGGCTTGCCTGCAGTTGTAGGAAGGGCATGCAGGGATGGTGGTGTGTCGATTAAGGTAAATCTGCAGAACCAGAGACATATTAAATAGAAATATTGCAGAAAATGTTATAGGAAACATTCAACMTGGGATTCCCAAGTCTGGAGGATTTCCCATGGTTAAGTATACCATAATGACGATTTATTGAAAGATATCAAAATGTCCTTAGAATTTCAAGATTTCTTTTCTTGTAATGAACTCCAACCCCTTTTCTTATAATGATTTGTTGAATAGGGTATTATGAACGATGGATATATWTTTATATATATGTGTGTGTGCGYGAGAGTACATTTATATGTTTAGTCTTTAATTGGTGAGATAATTCTGCATTGTTTCACATAGTGGGAGTTGAAGAATTAGCAGTCTTTTTTCCTGCTAAGAACTAAATAGTAAATAAATATTTTAGATTTTTCAGACCATATGATCTGTTAAGTTTTATGATTATAAGCATGAAAATGTCATGTGAATGAGTGTACCTGTGATCTAATAAAACTTAGAAACAGATGGTCAGGTGGGTTTTGCCCATGGGTCATAATTTGTTGATCCCTGACCTAAACCCTATTGCTTCGCTGTGGTTGTTAGAGCAAAYGTGAAAGAGATTTAGTGAGAGGTCATGGGAAAGCAGTAATTTATACAAATACAAATTATTGCCATTCATTACTTTTAATATGATTTGGTTTGTGATAGCTGGAAAACCCATGATAGTATCACTTGATTTTAATAATAATGAACTTTATTATACTAGAAAAATAATCAGTTGATTGTTTTGGCCAGATTGTAATGCAAAGATTTTATTCCATTGTGAAACAGTACTTCTGGTGGGTTAATTTAAGTCTTATAAAAGGCTAAAAATCCCCAAGCCCCCAAGCTTTCCATTTCCTGTTAAATTATAATAGCTAAATTTAAAATTTTAGTTAATATACTTGTCATGTTTAATTGCAGATGTGGATGCCACTTGCAGTGACTTTAATTTTGGAACGGCTTTGCATATTGCAGCGTATAACTTGTGTGCAGGTGCTACAAAATGCTTACTGGAGCTTGGAGCAAACCCCGCATTTAGGGTAAGAGGTTGAAGTAAAAGAACGAGAAAATTTATATTATCTCCTAACAAAGAGCTGAATTCAGATGTTGTTATCAATAGAAGAACTCCTATATGACTGAGCAATTTATATATATATATATATATATATATATATATATATATATACACATATATACCTAAATGTATATAGATATAAAGAGTATGATGAGATTTGTCTTAAATACATTTAAGGCATGAATTTAAGGCATGAATTTCAGTCCTTTTATATTAAGTTCTACAACACTTGCATTTAGGAAAGTAAACTCATCTTAAAAAYATCATAATATTTGAGTTTTAAATATCTTTAGGTTTTGGATATATTTATAAAAAGTTAACTGTTAAATACAAAGGTGTATA